AAGAAATCACTACTGAATACAATGTTGTTGATATGTTTAATTATATTTGTAAACAAATCTCTGCTTTACTAAAAAATAAACCATTAGTCAACAGTCAATATTTAATTTTGAAAATGGTGAAACAGCAACAAAAAATTTTTAATAAAAAATTTCAGTTGAATAGATACAATTTTTGAAATATTATTGATTGGCAGTTTGCTAATTAATAAATCAAATATCATATCAGTCAGATCAATATCATATCAGTCAGTCTTCACTTGACATTATCTATTTGTGATTTTTTGCAGTCATAAAACAAGTCATCTGCAAAACTTATAAAAAAAAGGAATGTGAGATCCAAAAAAGCCCAAAAAAAGCTAGCTAAGATATCTTGGCCCTTCTATATTGACAGGAACAAGTTATGATGAGCAGGAACACCTATACAATATTCAGTACAAAGTGTTTACTATAGTATAGTATTTTCAAATCAACATTTCACCCTAATAAGTTCACTATCAAATATTTATCAAGTCTGCTTAAAAAAACAGTTTTAAAATGGATCATCTTGGTCAATGTTTCTGGTTGAGATTCTCCCAACACAAGTTACTACTATGATTACAGTTAATTGCGTAATAATAAAACTTCTTTTCTTACAAGTTACTCATGCAAGAACATTTCATTTGTGTGTCTCATTATTACTATTATTGATATATACATGTATTTGATGATGGAATTTGATATATTCTGAGATACATGCCTAGCTACTCATGCAATAACACTTGATTTTGGTTTATAATTAAATCATTATTGATATCAAATCAGAGCAATCAGAGCAGAATTTGAAACTGTTATTTTAGCAAGAAGTATTTCTGAACACGCTATATGAAAACTACATACACGATATATCAATAAAAGCAATTTATTCCTAACTCTTCATCAATATTCGAATTATTCTTATCTGATATAACGACATAAATAATCAGTTGTGAATGGAATTTGATATTCTATTATTAATATATGAAACAGTAGAATATCTAACACAACCAGCTAGCTAAAGATAGTATTACTCTGTGCTGCCATTTTTAATATTTTCATTAATTAATATTAATAGGATTAACTTCTGGACCAAATACTCAAATTCTATTCTTTCAATTATTTATATTAATAGGTTTAGTTTCTGAACCAAATACTCACGATTTTCTCTTACAGTTACTATTATGATTAATATCATATTTATAATGGAATTGGATAGTGGGATATAAATATTATAACACCCACCTAGCTACACAAATAACATGTACTGCATGTTGCAACTATTGATGTTTACTTTATAATAATGATTTTTCTATTCTACTTCTGATTAAACAGTGTTAAGGTGTGATTATTTCTAAATATTTTGATATACATGCCACCTAACAACGCAGAACATTATTCAATGAACATGTAATTCAATTTAAGTTTTATTTCAATTTCAACTTAAATATAAGAAAATATTAATAAGTCAGAGGCATGATCAATTAATATATTTCAGTTTCATGCACCATCATCTTTTAGATGTTAATTGTGTTACATATTAATTATACAAACAATATATTTCACAATCTGATTAACATGCAGATCTTGGTGTTACATCCTAGCAGATGACAATCCAACTTGCTACTGGTTGAGTTTTTCATTGCCCATAAAAGGAAGTGTTCAACTCAGTGTTAAAGGGAAGATGTGATGTTTACACACCTTTTAAGGGTTAACAACCTATCATGGAAGAAGATGTACCAGATAACAAAACTAACTAGTGCTAGTTAACAACTATCTTTGAAAATCACTAATTAGACTGTTTGTTTTACATAAATGTAAAGACTGGAAAATTAAAACTGAACTTGATCTTATTCTACATCAGGTTTAAAATAAAATAGAATAATAATATTAAATAATCAATAACTTTCATATCATATTATATCATATCATATTATATTATAATTATACTAGAAATAGAGTTATACCGTCATATAATAAAACTTGATCTCTGACAATTTCGTCATTCAGCTTTCCTAAGTTGAATTTTGTGTGGAATTGTCATTTGACTCATTCCAGTGAAAAATCTTCAGCACTGAATCTCCAAAAATATTCTTATATTCACTTCAAGAGTGTTCCTAAAAAGTTTGGTAACATTTTGAAATTTTTAGAACACCAAATTAATTAGGTTTTTAAGAAAAAGGTTTTTGATCATACATTAATAAGTTATCTTCAGTAAAACAATTGATATTGTTCATGAATTAGATGGAAGATAAATTGGATATTGGAGAATGCTGATTCAGGAAGATGGGTTACCGAGATGAAGATAGTTCTTAATTTTAACTGGTGAAGATGATGACTGAGTAAATAAAATATAAACAGGTTTAAATGTAAATAAACCAACATCATTTATTCAGGTTTTTATTTGATAGAGAAACTCGTCTGCCTAATTAAAATGGATGAACTTCTGTTGAATATTGAATTTGTTCGCTTTGTGTCTGCTTTCTTATCTACTTGTTATATTTACACAACTATCGTTGCTATGGAATGTCAAAATTTGATGCAGGACTGTTAAGGGAATTTACTCGTTTGTACCAAGCGTCATACAAGTAAAAACAAATATGACATATGCCATTGACCGTGCTTCGAGTTTTAAGTATGGTTTAAACCAACTGTCCGCCATTTTGAGATTTACTGACGCGCCTAATCAACAAATTTTAACCAGATTAGTTTAAAACTGTTATTTATTTAAGGAAATTCTAATCAAACCTTCAAATTATCTGACTGAAAAGTTGGGATTTGATTCTAATTACAGTTTATAGGCCAAATACAAATACTGGCTTAAAAACACATTGAACAGTTTCAAAGAAGATATCTATCTTCTGAACTGTTTATTTTGAGAGGAAAAAATCTGAACTTAAAAAATTAACTGATTAGTAATGCTTTTCAGAAGAGAAGACATGACTTGCTTTGTTAGATAAATCCAATATCAAACTCTGTCTATAGTTTTAGCACACTTTTTAATTTTATCAATAGCAAGTTACGTCCAATTCTTAAATTTCAGTCAGTGCTGTTATTTTTTAAACCTAAACTATATAATAATATACATGATTAAATTCGATGACAAATGACTAAAGTAATAAAATCTAAAGCATAATTAACATTACTATCAATTTAGCAATTAGAATTCATTCATGCATTTTACTAGTTACATAGCTAGGTTATAAGCATTGTTAATATCACAAGTTCACAAGTTATTCATGTCTGACATTTTCCAACAGACTTGCAAATATTGAACAAGTTGCCAAAGAACCAGATATCACATAACATTTCAGAAGGTGGTCGACTGTGGTACCATTATCTGTTTATAGAAGTACCAGACATCACCTTAGTACATTTCAGAAGGTGGTTTACTTCTGTACTATTGCCAGTTATAGAAACACCAGACACATAAGTTTATAGAAGCGCCAAGCATCACCTAAACTTTGGGTTAATGGTCCACTATTACCTTATGTCAGCTTACAGTCAGCCAACACCAACAAGCCTAAGTGTTGTCCTATTGTCATTTTACAGATACACTAGACATCACCTGGGTTACCAGAATTATTCAAGATAGTGGTACTTTTGTCAGTTTATACCAAAACCATGCATGGTCTAACTCTGTGTTCTATACCAGATGGTGGTCCATATCTATACAGCTTGTCAGCTAACAGACCTTGTCTAATTTATTACAATACACTGGGTGATTGTCAAATATCACAATGTTGTCAAATATTGAATTTCCTCCCTCTCATTTTCACCGAGGGTGTGCCCAAATTCTTTAACAAAAAGAATATCAGGGGACAATTGGAATATGAAACTTCTTATCAGCTGCATATTTCTTCTTTTTAAAAATTGTAATGTGTTTTGTTATCAGTTGAATAATGTTATTGACTTCTGAAATATTTTAACCCCTTTTTAATCTACCCTGGCTATTGTGTAGGAGTTGAGTAGCAAGATAACTTGAAATGTTCTGCTTAACATCACTTTTCATCTTTCTTTTTTAACAAATCAGTCAAGCGTCATAGTTAACAATACAGTTAAACATGTCATTTGTGTACATGTTCTTTCATTGAGAAATCATTTATAAAGTCACTATAAGAACTCACTTTCCTTACAAAACTTTCCTTTTACTTTTTCCAATTAACTTAAACAATATTTTACAAGTTTAACCATTCGGAAATTAATCGTACCGAGACATGTTTTTTTTCCAAGTTTAAGGCATGCTTTTCAGTTTGAACATGATAAAAATTTTGTATCATAATACATATAGTTAAAACATAACATGTCATTGGGTATATCTAGTTAATTAAAACCTTAGATAAACAGCAAATTCTAAACTATCAAAAGCCAATTATTTACAAATTTAAATATTATACTTAAAATTGAGGTAACACTTGAGCTATAACACTGAATTTCTTATCAATAATTATGCTCTTTAGCAAATTGGTATTAAATATATTCATGTCTATGATCTAAATAATGCATTGCATTAAATATCACCCAAACACCATGTAGAATATCAAAATGCATTTCTAAATTGGTAATTGATTGAAAATTTCTTAATTGTTGTTAGGATATAAAATGATCCTAATGAAATGATTCAGTGATAAATTTTCAATCAAGAATTTATCTTTATTTTATGGTTAACAACGTGGGATAATTTGAGTTAAAATGCATAAAATTTAACAACTCAAGCAAAACTATTAAATTAATTATTATAATTATATAAATGAAATAAAATCTACTACAGGGTGCAACGGGTAATTATTGCCTAGTAGCCAAATTAAAAATCCTATCAAATTGGATGAACCAGTTTTGACATGTCAATCTAATGACGGCATGTCGGGGATATCAAATCAGTGAAACCATGGTTATAAATGGTTATATGACAACCAAGTCGTAAAATGACCTATTAAAGCAATTACAATGATTAGAATAAACGGCAAATAATAATGAAGGATATATATTTATAACACACCTATAAACTGACACTACAATAAAATAAATCACGGAAATGAGATTTTCAAAAGGTATAAGGGGACAGTATTGGACATTATGACCTATTTTACAGGGCCATTATCATTATTATTGTACCTGGTCACCACAGAGAGACAACGGGACGCCCCAATCTTTATAGTTTATATATTTTATGAGTTAAAGAAGAAAAGCAGGTTTTGGTTATCCCAGCTATAATTGATAATATCTTGATCTAATTCATCTTGAGATTTGAAAAGTAAAGCTTACTTGTTTTGTCAAGTTCATTCAATGTCCTTGGCTATGAGAACTTTTTGAAAGGGAATGTAAATTGGCAAACCCATCTATAGAGAGGCTTCTGGTCTTCTTAATGAGAAATTCAAACATAACATAAGATGTACAAATTTTAATCTATTCCTAAGAAACTGTTCCATTTACTTTCATCAAAATAGAAGTTTGGAATTTACATAAGCAAGCAGGAAAATGCCCATAAATTATATTTTCAATTTCTTTGTTACATTGCTGGATGATATGGTCAGTCATTCTTTAAATTATTCAATTTAAAAATTTCCTTTCTATGACATGATATATGACCACTTAACATAGTATCTTTTAACCTTGGATTCAAAAATTTTCAAATTTCACATCATTATGGAAGATAAAAGGAAAGAGTCTATCTTGAAGATAATAATGTCTACTATATGATTTATAAAACTTGTTTGTCCTGATCTGTATACTATACAAGGTAAACCAACCAGTTTTACTATTTGTTTGGTTAGCCTATCACCCCTCTTTATCTTCTAATCATATTTGACAGTTGACCAACCCTTTTTTTTATCATACCTAATAATCTGAGTTCATGAATATATGAATATTATAATATAAGTAGGGGTCTATCTCTGACCATCTAGTCAAGTACTCCAAGCCCAGAGTTCACAAGTTATTGACAGAATATAGAGATACTGTCAAAATACAGGTTCATAACTCATCATAAAATCATTCTTACAAGTGAACATTCACTGACCGACTGTGGCAAATTAAGAGTGTTGGTTTGATTGACTTTGCCAGTTACCTCTGGATATTCTAAATTTTTAATTTTGGTGCATGGGTAAATGCAATAACTTCTTTTGTGTAGGCTGTTCCAATCAAATCTTATAGTTTTAAAAAGCATTATTACAAAAAAAATATCAAAGTATGCCTAACTTATTATTTACGATTATATTTCAACGTTTATTAACTTTACTGGTAGGTTGGTCTATTTATAATTCCATGTTTATCATGTATCATTTTAGTGTTAAAAAAAAATTACAAAATATTTAAAATTTCAGATGGAAAATTATGAAAAAATTTCTCATTTTTGATTCAATCATCCACGCTTATTCATTTTTCATTCACTCTTTATACCTACCTTGAGTAGACCCAATGTCCACTGTTGTTGATAATCCTTGAAAAGTAATCCTGGAAGAAACAGTCTACCATAATAAACTGGATGATAAAGTCTACCAGTAGTTAAAGGTGCGGAGAATAGAGTTGTGAAGGGTGCTGCCGGGATATCGTTCAGTGATGATTCACGAACTTTGTGGACATCTTTACCTGACAGTATTAGAAAATGTTCGTACAAATCTAATGCTGTAAAGTAAGATGGCACCAGAATTCGTTTCTCTCTAGTCCCTTCGAGTTCTTCTCTGATCCCAGATTGAAAATATGGTGCATTGAAGTGATCTTAGATACATCTACAGAAGCTGATTGGACAAATCATAACCATAGGTAAAGAAAACTCAAAAAAACTAACCATAAAAATCATAATCACTGGAAGACAATCTTACCATAACGTTATTGCAAAACTAGAAAACTAAATCAAAAATCAGAATCTTGGGAAAGCAAAAGGGACTCATATCAATTTAGACGATAAACAGAACAGTAGAATATTCTTAGGTATACAATATTTACAAGAAACCCTCATTCAATAAAAACTGTATCAAAAATCCAAAACTTGGTCACGAAATCAATATTAAGGTATTCCATATCAAATTAGACTATATTTACAATAGTTCAATATCTTTCAAAGTGAGACAAAATGCCAAAACCTTGGCCAAGCAATAAAGACATATCAGAAATTCATGAACAAACATATTAGAACCACTAACAGAAATATTTAACAGAAAACAATTTACTAAGCATGTCAATAGAAAATATTAAAGTTCTTTAGAACAATTCCTAGTGCAGACTTTCAACCTATTTTTTCACTTGAAAAAGAGTTTTTACATCATTAACCCTGCGTTCTCTGAGGAAGAGTAACCCTTACATCTGAAAGGTGGGTGGTTTCTAGTCTATTGAGTTTGTATTCCTTCTCTCCAAAAATATTTTAGCAAATTTTGACCTACTTGTTTTGTCTGAAGAAATCTAACCCATGTGTGAAAGACCTGTCACAATTGTTCAAAAAGTAAATTTACTTATCGTTTCATATTTCTTCAAAGAAACAAATTCTTTTTTTTTGTTCAAAATTTATGGTTGAAGAGATTCGAAAATCTTACAAATTAGGTACACCCCTACGTTTCTGTAGAGACATCTTTTATTCATTGAAAAAAATTTGGTAAAATTTATGACAAGTTTAAGAGGTTTCAATGACTGAAGCACTCAGCTTAACTCCTCATATTACAGACAAATCAAACAAAGCCACACATTCAGTATAACTACACAAACCAAATACTACCAAATTATCAATGGCTAAAATACAGTTTGGCATGAAGTCAAACAAAGTTTGAAAGAGACCTTAGGTTTCCATTCAAGGCCTTGGTGTACATAACCTATCTCTAGAAAGATATATGGCCATGTTCGAGAAGTATCATTAACCAAAAATCTACAGTTTACATGAACTGGTTGTAGATGTGCAACCATAAATAAATCAAATATTTGAAAGTGTCAGTAATACCTTAACACAGTTTCAATGCCCCTGAGCCATTTCACAAATATTCTGTTCATTAGAAGGTGTGCAGCAGTAACAAAAGACAAGAAACATGAATCTTCATTTCGTTTGCCTTTTATGGAAATAAAACAAAACCCTGAGCTACAACTACTAAAAGTGACTTGATGCAACAGTCAACATCCTTCTGCACAATTATTTACCATCATAATTTTGTTATGGTCAAAAGTGCCTGCTAGTGTGCATAGCTGATGGATGTGACAAATTAAATGATGCCTTTTGTTAATGGTCAATTCCCCTAAAGTGTCAGCTTGGTTTTGAAGAGTTACACACGCTCAAACCATTTCAAGAATGAAATTGAAGTTGGCAGCCATTTTGAAGATGAGCAACAGTAACAAAGTAAAATCAGTGAAAACAAGAAGATAATACGATGATAATCCACGGTAAAACATCAGATGAAGTTTACCCTTAGCAAACTATCTCAACACGACAGACAAACAAATATTGAGAAAACTGTCGCATCACTCTCTCCATTGATACAATATCATGTCTTTAAAAAGTCAGACTGAAACTGGCTCCCGATATTTATCTGTTTAAATTTCTAAGATTTTCAACAACTTAACTCTTATGCGCATTTTCCTCCAACTTTTAGCTTGCAAGATTGATATCCGTATTCATTTCAGGAAACCTTATTTATTTACACACATTCCTTAGCACTTTTATTTCAGCCATATCTAAAGTTTTATGAACATTTTGAATTGAGTACCGGTACTGGTATTAATGTTTAGTTGACTGTGATGATAAATGTCAAACACAGCAGGCTTCTTTCTTAATTCAATTAGAAAAACTTTTAGTAACATTTTGTTGTTTCTACTGAACCATTTCATTTGCATCATATCAATATGTTACTGGAAATTTTTGCATGAAAACAGCTTTATAAACTGAAGCAGACAATTAAATACTAGACAAACATTGCAGCTTTGAGAAACACACAGAAAGTGTTCCATCCTTGCTCACGCCATAATGTCACCATGTACCTTTAACAACATAATTGGCAATGATAAGATTCAAGTCTGTATTGATATGTAATAAAATTGTCTGAACAGGATGTCCTAGACCATATTAAAACATCTTCAATCAATGATTACGTTACCCTTAGATAGCAACAAATCCAAATATAAACCAAGTAGTTATTGATAATAAAACTATCTCAAGAATGTTTTAACAAGACAAGTATTTTTGTATTAATGTGAATTATAGACATTACTTTGGTTTATTTAGATACCAAGGTGACCAATCACTTTATCAAAGTTCGGTATCATACCATGTAGGTGTACATATAAGAGACTTATAATTCACTTTATCAAAGAGAAGATCTGAATAAAATTATCAAAACTTTTCACCTTGAGTTAAAAATCAATAAAATGTAATTAAAAGTAGTAGTGAATCTCTTCATAATTAACTCTAGTCTTGTAAAAATTGAGTAAGCCTATTGTGTTCACATGCCTTAAATTCAAATATTGGGAAATTCAAACCTGTTGCCTCATGGAAGATGCATTAACAGGCATTATCCAATTATTATATAACAAAGTTGAAATTTTAATATGTAACGTAAATGTTTCTGAGCAGTTTCTGGTCATCTACAAAGCCAATTAAAGTTATATGAAGATAAAAACGTGAGTTATTAGAATTTTCTTACTCCACATTAAAGTTTTTCATTGGAACAAGAGCTAAATAAAGGTTAAGGCAAATTATGCTTATCAAAAGTCAATAACTCATGGAGAGGATTAGCCAAAAGATTAAAACAGAATATCACATTTTACAAGCTTACAAATCTCTGAATATCTTAACCGTTTTCCAACAAATGGTGCATAAACTCTGATATATTTTCAGTTTGTACCACTTCCTTCATTTTTGTGATTTAACTGTCAAATTTGCATGAAATCAAAGTGTTTCAAAATCATAAAACTAAGATGTCAATTCATTTATTCAAAGTTTCATTCAAATGTCATATGACCTGATTTACAATGTATGACGTTAAACGTTAAATTTACTAAACCTTCAAAAAAAAAAGTAGGTTCATTTTTAGACTTTAATTGTTGATTTGAAACAGTTCAAAATAAGACAGAAAATTTCCTTTGAAATTCAGAATGTCAACAAACTATTTTCACATCTGAGGCTTGCCAATACAGGACATGAGTTTCAACAGGTAAAACAAGATGAAAACTGATGCTCGTATTTTCAGTTTAACTGATGGGAAACATTTATAACATGCCAACAACAAAATCGTCCTTTTTATAAATATTTTGTCTGAAGTACGTGAAAACATGAAGCACAATTTTATTAAATGAAATGGTCCTTAGCATCTTAATTTGTACCCAGCAGCATTGATAGTTTCAAATGCCTGTCTAAAAATACATCTACAAAGAAATTATTTTTGTCCTCAATGCATGCAGTAATACCTTGGCAAGAACAATTGAACTTCATATTTCACAAAAGCACATCTTAAATGAGTATTGAGTCCAAAACTTTCAAACCAAACAACATCAAAAATTAACTTTTCAAACTAAACAAATTACAAAAAACCTAGGAATTATCTCTTCTTTACCAAAAGATTCACATGAAGATTCACTAAAATAAAAAATCCAAAATTCCCAGCAAAATGTTCTACAAAGAATTTCAAAATGAAAAAAACCAGATAATTGAAAAATTTTTCAACACCAAAGGATAAAACAAATATGTCCAAATTAACTTTTCACAAGAGAGTAGCAGATCAGTTCATGATGTTATATAAAAAATGAAGACTCCTTTCCATTATTAACAGGTAGAGGGTGTCTCCAAACTTTATGATATAGAGTCATTCTGCCGTTAACTAAACATAGATCCCTATCTAGATACCAACAAATCACTTTCAATCCATTTATAAACTCTCTTCATTCTCGGCTGTTGTGTGGCTGGATTTTCACAGGTGAACAACTTCAACAGATGGTGGGACAGTTCTCCAACACTGGGCCAGCTTTACTCTGATTACTTTGCTTTCAGCCTGTAATCACTGAACCTTAACAAATTTTTCAAAAATAAATGTTTTTGAATATTTTCTTAAAATACTCACAGCTCATTGAACCATTTCACAATTCATCTTGAAACACTCTATCATCATCAAATGACTAATATCAAAAGGCATGTTTAAAACTTGAAAATGTTACGGAAAAATAATCAATTAAAAATATTTCAATATACGCCCAGAAACCATCTCCAATATACAAAAAAAAACAACAAAAATTTAAACCAATATGAATTCATAACCAAACCTTATATTTAACAACCACTGTCCTAGAAATATTTCAAAATCCAATCTTTAACAAGTTGAAAGTCCAAATTTTTCCACACAAAGTTCATAACCATAATTTCTTGAAAACACCATAAAAATTGCTGAGTTGATAAGTGAAGGTCCAAACTAACTAAACTAAATCTTGACAATACACAGTTTTTATGACCGGAGATAGTCACTAGTCAGTACTAAATAGGCTGATAACATGATAACTAGTTACTTGAAGGACTACCGCACAAAGCTAGCTACCGTCCATACAGTGATAAAGACCGTCTCTCGATACTAGCTAGCTCACTGGTCACGGTCAAATGATGATTCCACAATGCTAACTCCATTTCGATGTCCACCACTAACAGATGCAGCTGAATAGAGTTTCAGGGTTTGAATGAGAGAATTTATGTCCCACAACTGGTTTGGTTGATTGAGCCACAAAGCAGGTAATAAAAGTGACCATACCAGATTAACGACCGTAGTCTAGTCCAGCACGCTGTCGTGTATTTGACCAACTGTCTTGTTAACGGTAATCTATTAAAGTGATGAGTAGCCAACGTGACAGAGGATCACACCTGAAATACGTATCAACCTAATGTCATCCTTACTTTCCAATTACTAATTATATACTGTATCCTGATAGTAAATATGTCTAAATAAGAGCTACGTCCAACCTACACACAACACTCCATTTACAGCTAGACAACCATTTTCACTTCATCTTACCACCAATCCTGTTTTAAACCCCACCCAATGATGAGCGAGAGTACACAATTGATAGGATGACTGAAATGTTATAAAGAACACATTTGACCTTTGATCTCGTCCTTTTCATTGGTAGTTTACTATAGATGTTGCTTGAAAACCAGGCTTGAAACTAGTTCAACAACCACACTTTCATTAAGATGGAAAATGTAGCTGAAAAAGGTCGCATATTTTAACGGTCAGGCCAATCCACTAAGAGAAAAGACACCTTTATGAAACGAGCTCTCCTTCAGTCAATATTTGTCGGCCTGTAATCTCGAGTCTATTTGACAAGGTATGCTGTGTTCAACTCTCTCTTATCCCTTCAGGGCTTGAATACAGTGAAACTCCTATGTCATTCAAATATGTCTATTGAAGCTTAAAACTCGCTCAGGTGTATCTAATAATGAAAAATGTCACTAACAGTAACACCCTAGTCCTTGTCTGTAGATACACTGGAAAATTTCTCAATATTCCAGGACCATTACTCAATAAAATGTAATTTTCAAATCGTGTAACTTAGAAACATTGATAAACTATGCCTATATTAATAAACCATGATGTGTGTTGCCATAGAAACCATATCAATGTGACCAAGCAGACACAATAGCAACGCATCAGTATTATCCACTTTTCATCCTTACCTTTCAAATAATCAATTGGCTTCAATTCAACGTGGCAACCGACCAACTCAACCTGAACATCACCATAAATTACATTAGAACTGTTTTAATAGGATTCTTTACACATTCCATTAGCTTATTGGTCCACAGGACAGGACCACTGATTTAGCTATATTTGCCAGTCATGTCTGTTACAGGTAAAAGTGCCTAACTATGATATTGGCCAACAGGACATCTATTTTCAACTCATTGGAATTTTCAATGCATTTTTTTGGGGGGATAAGAAGTCTTGTTGATCGACCTGTTTTTGCCAGTCATGTCTTATAGAGGCTAAAATTGTCTGATTATGATTTTGAACTACAGGACATCACTTTTCAACCAAAGGAAATATCATTACCTTTGTCTTCAGGAGGGGATAGTAGATTAAAAGTTTGCCATCCTGTCAGAAGCTACAAAAGACAGTGTGTGATTTCATCAACAGTTTTCTATATCATCTAATTTAATACAACCCTTACATAATAACATGATTAATTATCTCAAGGACAGGACAGTTTCCCTCAGGTTCAAAATATGACTATTCATGTAATTTCGAGTCATATCTGAGTGCAATTAATAATAGTTGATTGAAAACTGGCTGGTTTATTATCTCATATTTCCAACTCTAGCCTTTACTTCCATCTTATTAACATTCAGAAGATGAAACATAAAACTGAAAAGATTTTGCTATACATCTATCATTAATAGAACATCACATGCATCATCTTTTCAGTCTTGAATACATCCAAAACTATTAATGTTCTACTGTGGGCAGGTAAACTTCACAGTTAGGACTGAGGTACTGTAATAAAAATTCATTACGTCATATGATTGTCAAACTTTCACATCAAAATGCTTCTAAAAATGGCTATATTTCACAATGATAACTTAGGTTTATTAGTTTGCGATATCAGCATCCGCTGGAAGCGAATGTTAATTTATCATCTACCATCTACATTCATACCAACTTAGATTCATGATTAAGGATCCTTTCTACCAGCTGGTGATTGGCCAAACCTTCAGAAGTGATCTGTCCTGAATTATCCGACCAAGACCGGAACCCAGAGTCGCCATTCTCTTGATGTTACCAAGCAAACGATGTTACATAAAGAATCAATACTGTAACTGATTATGCTATAGAATCTCAAGTTGAGGGGAAAGTGTTTGCTTATCCAATGTTTTACTGACAATATTTCCTTTACAGTAGATACTTACCAAGAGCTATTGAACATGATGCCTGACCTTATTGAACATGATACCAGACCTTATTGAACATAATACCAGACCTCATTGAACATGATACCAGACCTTATTGAACATGATACCAGACCTCATTGAACATGATACCAGACCTTATTGAACATGATACCAACCTTATTGAACATGATACCAACCTTATTGAACATGATACCAACCTTATTGAACATGATACCAGACCTCATTGAACATGACGCCAGACCTTATTTAACATGATACCAGATCTTATTGAACATGATACCAACCTTATTGAACATGATACCAACCTTATTGAACATGATACCAGACCTTATTGAACATGATACCAGACCTCATTGAACATGAAGCCAGACCTTATTGAACATGATACCAGACCTTATTGAACATGACGCCAGACCTTATTGAACATGATGCCAGACCTCATTGAACAAAACATTACACCAGACCTAAATGAACAAGATAACACTCATACCAATCATAAACAAGACATATTGGAACATAACAGACGTTTACTGCAGATGTAATTTGAACCTAATACCATCAAGTCAGTCAGTAGAACAATCTATAGTATTCAACTGCTATGTAATAACTAGTATTTTATTATTTTTCTATGCACAATCAACCTATTGATTGAATAAGCTTAATGTTAAAACCATGTCATATAGTATTCATATCCAGTCAACTTTTACATTATCGTTTGTTAACACAGGTTCTGCATGGTGAATAACATAACAATCCATTTTAACATATCAAAAATACACTGATTCAATCCTTGGTGATCAATGTATTTTACAGAATGTTGTAGACTTTTTATGACTTTTCTTTTATCATTTTTTATATGACAGTGTCAGAGTTGAATAGATAGCCTATTAAATAGTTGATCTTTGTACTTCAGATCTTATCATGGTAAAAAGACTTGTGCACTTTTGGGAATGGATATTATTTGCTTTAAGACTTACAAGTCAATAGTTGAATTGAAATACTGAATTATTTTTTTTGCAAAAAGGAAGATTGAGAAAGTGTTGAAATAAAAATGAATGAACTAAGCTTTTTGAATTGAGTACAAAACTTTCATGTACCACTAGCCTACTTAAAAATAGTTGACAGCATGTTATATTTTTGATAAAATTTTCAATGAAGGTACAAACTGGGTACAGGTAAATTACCTTAACAAGTTAAATCCTGAACAGCAATGAAATAAATAATGCATTTTTCTTTCTGGAAAATGATACACACTAATGTATATTAATATTTGTGTCAATAATCTAAATCAATCCAGGGAGAGAATTTTTTTTATTTTTAGTAAATTGAATCTAATCAACAGTTATGTTCCATATTGCAATGACAATAAAATATGTTAATTTATGTATTCTATAACATTATGGACACATTGTGGCAATTTCAGATCAACACATTGTTGGTAAACTTCTTGCATTTTTCAGGAATTAAGCTTACAAGTCTATGTGCATGGGGTATTTTATTTTGTAGCTTAGAATAGAAATAATTCACTCAAGAACAGGCAAATGGGCCTACCTGTCTGTCTTTGCGAAATTTCTGAAAAGCTGCTTGTAAGGAAGTTTTCTGATCTTTTTTCAGACTGTCATCAAAATCAAAGTAGGTATACTTCTGTGTGGAGTAGTTTGAAGTGTCAATGTTTTCTTCTTGAGAAATATTATCAAATTTTTGAACGACTTCATTCACAGGTGCATCGTCTTGTCCTGTTGCGAGGTATTTGTTTACATCGATGTCGGCCATTGTTGTTGTCAATATCTGATCACTGCGTTTATCAGTTCATAATTTTTGATCTAAAGTTTTTTGGAGCGATCAAACTCTTTCATGTCATAGTTCACACAAAACTTAAACGATTTACCGTTAAGATTTTCGCGGAATTTTTGTTGTAATTAACAAAACTGTAAAATCATGAATAAATAGGCTGTGTTTTTTTTCAATGAGGCGCCTTGGAAATGATCAAAATATTTAGTTGGATATAAGAAAGAAAAATTTTGATTGGATATTATAATTAGAACCAGCAAATGAGCATCGAGAACAGAATCAATACATTGATTGGTTTTTATATTTAGATATAACCAATCAACGTGTAATACAGTAGCAAATTCTAATCCAACCTTAGATCTTTGACACTTGAGCTTTATTTTCACCTGACAGGTGTGAATTTTTCCTAATAACAAAGAAGCTACTGAATATTAATCATAATTATATCGATCAAGACCATTAATAGTAATAATAGGATTCTGAATATAGAAACTGACAAGCTTAGAAGTAAAAATCGATAAAACTACAATACCTATGAAAGCTTTACTGGCTAAAGGGAAATAACTCCACATTTCTAGACAACATTTAAGCAATTTTTGCTGCGTTCAATTCTTGGAAGATAGCAAAGTATAATTTGCAATAATTTGTTACCTATTGCTGTATGTGACATATTTGCGGTGGGTCGCAGTTAGAACTAAGTGCTGAATTTATTCATAAGAAAAGTGTTAGGGCAATACGAACTATTAGCATACATTTCTAACATAGAAGACTTCAACCCTATAGCCTTAGCCCATTCAATAAATAGTAGCCCTCATCCACATAAATGAAAAGCCTTACATCACCTAGACTAAGGTATGAGTTTTAACAGGAAACAACTGAACCCAAAATTAAGCAGTGCCCTTTACCGACATATTCCTGACAACACTAATCGAGACTATCAAAACCATAAATTAGAACAATTAGTCGAAATTCGACATGATGGATCTAATTTGTTTTACTACAAAGAGACATGCATTGAAAATAGAGGAAACAAAATAAATAATTCTACTTTCGTTTTAGTTTTATTATCCAATATCTAGAATTAAACACTTTATTGTCATAAAAATTTCATAGGCTTCTACAAAGTTCTGAAAATTGTATCATGAACGTTAGGTCTAACAAGAAAGTACCAGGAACGAGTCTTTCAGACTTTCAGTTGCAGGCGATTCTGAATCTGCCAAAAGGGTGAGCTAATATTATTTTCCTTTCTCGGGAATATTACAATTCCCTAATTCAATATTCACTACCTCACTAAACAAGAAATGTTTGGCTTAACCTTCTGTCAAGTATAAAATTACTCTTAATGGAAAGCCGTCGAGGATCTGTAAAAGTTAACAAGTTTTTTTTAAAAAAAAAGTGCGTAATGCCTTGACCACAAGAAAATCAGAATTTGACTTGAATGGCTGTTAAGGATCCTTTACACCATTAAATACGTTACAATTTTCATTAGAAGTAGCCTTGAAACAATAAATTGTACAATTCCGTATTTTAGGGTAATGAAACTAAAACGATACAAACAGCTTAATTTAGAATTATTGATTCCATTTCTAGGTGTCTACATTAGGTAGAAAGAATAGGCCATATCACAGAAAATAAAATCATACAAACCTGTTGTTTTCAGTTGCTAAATGACGGTTTTCTATTGGTTGATATTCTTGGCTAAACCTTGTTGGCATTAAGCTAGATCTACATTGACACCGATCTTTGCATCAAATGTGGACTTGCAGACTGCAGTGTATTATAGATTAATGCCAACACATCAAACGTGGTGGTACAAATAAATATCATGAAGTCATGTAATATACAACTATTGTACTACAAAGTCATATTCTGGTTTTCTGCCAAACACAACATTGCTATTAGGCAACTTGGTTGTACAACAAAAGCTGAGCCCAGTTTAACAAACATGATCGTACACATTAAATGAACAATTTATTATTATTGCACATTTCAACTGTTGTACATCATAGTCATTTTTTTGTTTTGATTGGTCCTAAATTCATATTCATTTTATATGTTAATCACAACATTGCTGTACACATAAAATGTACAAGTTTTTGAATATTAAAATTGTTGTACAACAGTTTTGATGGTTCAAAATGTTATATTTTTCAATATATATCTTATATGTCAATCATAACACTGCAATAACTTTGTTGTACAACGATTCCTTGAATTTAACTACGAATAAACATCAACATTAGATTAAGTGCTTGACCTTTCAGATGTCCGAAACATTGAAATGATCAAATTTTCAAATAAATTTTGTCTCAGACTGATTGTAATGATTTTCCATTCATATTGCAATTTCATGGTAATCGATGGAACTTGTCTGAAGCATGACTATAAATAGCCCTTGATATACAAGTCAAAAGTGCTTGACTGGTATTTACAAAATCACTGCCTTAAGTATTTGGTTACATGGACTTCATGAAGAATGATGAAAGATTGTCAAGGGTTTCTATATATCAATGTTCGTAATGAGACCAATGTGATCAAAAGCACATTAAACAATATATGCTCAGTGTAAGGCCAAGTCTAGATATACAGCTTTACGACAGTCTGTCAAAAAGACGTGAAAAATACAATAGAAACTTAGTTTGTATGGAATGCTGAAAACTGGTCAGACACGACTAGGCTAGTCTAATGATATTTGACATTGGCTCTAAGAAAATTTAAAAGCGTTGAGGCAAAGGACTAATTTCAGTTCACCATTTCTTCATCTGTATGGTTTTTCCATGTTCATTATCGTCTTCACTGTCTTCTACGTTGCTGGTAACGGCTGAAAAATATGAAAAACACTTCTTATGAGCGACAAGCGACAAGGGAAAGACAAATATATAGAGGCAACGTCATGCAGTGCGCAATGAGAGAATTTTGCCATTTTTTTTCAATTCAAAATTGTTTGTGAAAACTATTCTATTCTGATTTTCAAGTCGGTTTCGCCATGTCAGTAACGTTGGGGCTTACTTGGAAAATAGTCTAATAATGATGATGGGACAGGCTTTGCTACAGATTGTGCACTCGAAAGATCCCTCGACAGTCGAAATTCAAAAAAGGCAACAATCAAGGTTGGATTTCCCTCATTGCACACTATATTGTGTTACCCTGTCAATTGAAGCAGAACTTAAACTCGATTTAATTTAAGTATATAGGACCTTATTCATCTAACTTATCCCAAAATCTATTTATTCACAAATTAAAGGCGTGGTTTAGGTGTAGAAAACTGCATCTATGATATCGTGATATCTGAACAATAATATAAAATTATTTTAGGTGCAAATCTATCATATTATTATCTTCTACAATATGATTTTACTCCCACCTTTCATTTTAATACTGAATAGAATCAGTTACAATGGTCTGATGAAATATCTTGTAATATCATAAATACATGTCATGTCAGTTGTCTGAAGATCGCATAGCGTGAAAGTCTGAATAAAAACAAGTTATGTTTTAATATTTCTTAATACATCATGTATGTACATGTATATATATATATTTATATCGGTTGTTACCGAAGGATATGGGGAGCCGCGGTGGCTCAGTGAGTTAGACGCTTGCTCGCTAACCCGAAGGTCCAGGGTTCAATCCCGGCATAGGTCGAGATAATACCTTCGGATGGGACAATAAACCGAGGCCCCGTGTGCTACAGGCTGTGCACGTTAAAGATCCCTCGACAGTTGGAAATCGGAAAAGAGCAGGCTAATGCCGCTGTCCTGGCAAAATTTCCCTCATTGCACCCTGCATGGCGTTGCCCGTCTTCATTAGCTCACATGGTGCAGAAAAGTAGGACGTAAAACTCCATTCATTTCATTTTCATTTCATTTTACCGGAGGATATCACATATTATTTAGATATCTATATACGATACCACATACAACTTGGATTTAATGACACTATGTCTTTAGATCCTTGAATTGTGCATCTAGAACACTGTGTCCCTGGATTCAATAGCCCTTAGGAATTGGGAACATCATGTTCTTAGAAATCGGGAACATCATGTTCATAGAAATCGGGAACATCATGTTCTTTGAAATCGGGAACATCATGCCCTTAGAAATCAGGAACATCATGTTCTTAGGAACCATATCCTTAGATTCAGGAACAATATGTCCTTCGATACCTAAATTTGCAGGGAAATCATGTCATTGAATTTGCAAGAAAATTATTTCCTTGATTCAAAATTAACATGATCTCTGAACTCGGGACCTAGATGTCCTTGGAATCAGGAACAACATGTCCTGGAATTCAGGAACAACACGTTCTAGGATTCAGGAACAACAAGTCCTGGCCACGTATTCTCGAAACTAGTGCTAGGATATCTTAGAATCAATGTTAGAAGATAAGAACCTAGGAGATCCTAGCGCTAAGATTTCGAGAATACGTGGCCAGAGATTCAGAAACAACATGTCCTGGGATTCAGGAATATAATGACCTTGCATTCAGGAACATCTTGACCCGGGTACCAAGGTTGTGTCGAGTGATTCGCCCACTAGGATATACTCAGTATATTAAATTAGATACAAAACGGGACTTGAATACCATAATGATCCCTTTAGTTGTTTGCTTTGCTACTGAAATACGCCTGGAAAGCAAACATACTCGCGCATTATACAAGTTTGTTCTTTTCATTTCCTTTCACTGTAAGTATCACATAGAGATCTTCTACTTTCAACATCTTACATCAAAAATAACAAGAATATCCTCATTTTTTGTATTTTCGTGAATATTAAAATTCGTTATCGTCTTTTCATAGTCTTTAAAGTTATTCTAACCTAAGCTGTAAAGCCAGTGTTCTGATGGTAGATTCCATTTTTGATGTAGAATATATCAGTAGCATTATTTAAGCACTGTCCAATATTTTCTGTTTTGTAATTTCGGTAGAGAATCTAATTAAGGCAATAACAATCACTCAAAATGTATTTAGGATACTATTCACC